CATGGGTCCCGGCCAGAAGGTGCTTTAGTCTTGTGGCAGGCTTTCAGGCCTTGCTTTGGGCCAGTCCCTTTTGGGTTGACTTTTGCCCACAAGGGGATGGGTAGCTTCAGGTGTTTGATTTAGAAATTATATTCTTTGTGTTCCCTATTGTATACTCACTGTATTAAAGTCCCTTTTCATTAAGGTCACCCTGAGGTTCATCACCCTGCAGCCCTATCTCCTCAAGCCTCAGTTTCCTCATCTGGCTTTTGAACCAGCCAGGCCTAAGTTTCCGTTATCAACAAGGTGCCAAGGCTGAATTTAACTGTAAATGTCCTAATCTTGCTCATCCCATAGCAACAGCCAATTGGCAAGTAGGCAAGTAACCAGTACATATCAGGAAAACGTCAGATGTCCTACGGTATGCAGGCGAGTAGTGAAGGTCACGTCTTACATGCATATTACATGCATAGATCAACCGGGTTAAGACAAGATAACTTTGTTCAATGTCCACCAATCAATGTACTGCTGAGCAAAAACTCCTCTCTGCTGGGCTGAAACTCCCCTCTTCTGTAATAAAAACCCTGCCTTCCCTGAGCTCAGGGCTCTCAACTTTGGCTGCTGCGTTGCTGCATGTTGGGAGCCCAGGCTCGCGCTTCTAATAATGACCCTCATGTGCTTTGCATTGGAATCGGCTCCTTGGTGGTCTTTGGGAAACTCAAAACCTGGCACAACAGTAACACTCAAATAAGGTCTATAGATTAGTTAATAGTCTCGTGTATATGCTGGCTTCCAGATGGGATAGTTTATTGTCATTAGGTAAGGTATTAATGGGAATTGGGTGAAGAATATTGAAATTCTTTGCTCAATTTCTTTTCAAGTTTGTAGCAAAGTGAAAACATTTAAAATGAAAAGGTTCAAAAAGAAAGGGTGAGAGGATATAGTGATACCCTCCAGCAAAGAAGCTGACCTTTCTGTCCCTTCCTGCCCCCTTCTTCTCACTTGATGCACCAGTGGTGAGCCCGTGATGCCAGGGGATGTCGGTCTTGTGGCTAGACCAGTCCCTAGGCGAGGCTTGCCTCGGGGCTCTCAGCGACCCTAAGAACCCTCAACATGCCACCATCAAACCTTGGTGATCCCACAGAAACAGAGGAGACCAAAAGGCAGTGTTAAGGAGTCTCAAGTCAGAACACTAGGAACCCAGCTCTGCCAAAGGCCAGGCTGCATTCCTGAACCAGTCACATTTGCTTATAGGCTTGCCTCCACATCCATCAGCTCCACACCTTCAGCCTGTGTCTGCATACCTCAATTTGGAAACTGAGAACAGAAATAGCGCATCTCAGATACAGGAAGCATTTGAGAGTGGGGTGCATTCCCACACTTACCTGGAAGAAGATGACCACATTGGGAACTCAGGGCAGGCTTCCACTGGAAATGAGCACAGAGGACTGGCTAAGCCATGCAAGGTCAGGTCCAATCCTTACTAGGTGGCATGCTCAAAGCACTGCTAGAAGGGATTGGATTCCTAAGGTCTCTGTATCCTTCTGACAGCACAAGGGCCTCATGTCAAGGTACTGGCTTAAAGAAACAGGAGCTTGGGAAGCACTAACATTGCCATCCTTGTTTCAAAAGGATATCTGGCCTAGGCTTCAAGACACAATGATGGGCGAGAGCAGAAAGGTCCTCCCTTCTGGAGCTCTTGTTCTGACTAGGGAGACATTCAAGAAACAATGAATTGGGCCCTCCCTGGTGGTGCAAAGGGATAAAACATAGCATTTGAAGCTGTCTGCAGTCACTGTAGCACGGAGTTCCATCCCTAGCCAGGGAGGTGACCCTCATGGTGAAGCAAGCCACTTCTGTCTTGCCCACTGCTCCCCTCAGCAGTGTGTTTTAGTCAATCTGCCTATTCAACTTCCCACTCTCTCTGGTGAATCCTCTCCCCCACCCCAATCCCCCAACCTTTGGCCTGTACCACAGTTCTTGTATGCATAAATAAATAACTTTTTTAAAAAGTAACAGTGTATCAGAGCAAGGACCAAGGCAGGCGAAATGGTTACTATAGATGGGGTGACATTACAAAGCTTCATCAAGGACCTGCAGAGTGTGAGGGAGAGTGTGGTTCGAATATCTGAGGGAGGAATTCTTCAGCAGAGAATGGGGCATGCAAAGGCCCTTGAAGCAGGGGCCATGAACAATGGCAGGGGCTTAGACAAGTGACAGGGCAGGACTGCAGGGCAGCAGGGTGAGCCCAGCATGGGTGGACCATGGGCTTACAGGGGAGGCACCCTGAGGTTCATCACCCTGCAGCCACCCTACACACCAGAGGCCCAAGAGTCTGTTACATTATCTCCTCAAGCCTCAGTTTCCTCATCTGTAAGTGAGGGTCAGAGTTGCATTAGTATACCAAGGCTGCCATAATAAAGTACAAGTGAGTGACTTAAACAGAAATTTATAGTTTTAGAGGCCAGAAGCCTAAGATCAATGTGTTGGCAAGGTCATGCTCCCTCTGAAGGTGCCAGGGAAGGGTTTGTTCCAGCTTCTCTCCCAGCTTTTTATTTCCTTGGCATAAGAAAGAACTCCAGTCTTCACAGGGGACTCTCCCTGTGTACGTCTATCTTTCTCTGCAAATTTCCCTTTTTTCAATAAAACACCACCACTTGTATTGGATTTTATCTTGATTATCTCAGTAAAGACCCAAATAAGGGGCTGCTAACTGGGGGGCAACAACTCAACCCATAACAATAGGAGCTAAGTTTTGAATAGTCCCTTCCTTGGGGAGCCCAGGACATTGGAAAGCCTGGGGTAGGATGAGGGCAGGCAGCTTCTGAGACTAGTACTGATGAAGTTTTCCCCAGACTGGCCCCATCCTGGGGTAGAGGTAAACATTTTGAGAAATTCTTCAGATGGCTTTGCACCAGGCACAGTGGTGCCCTGTGATCATGGCCAGATGAGTGCCAGCACAGGACACTGTTACTTGTGGGGCAACCACTGAGACAAAGAGCAGTGGTCCAAAGTATAGGCCTGACTATAGTGCTCCCTAAGAGGGTGCCTCATTGTCCCCAAATGAATCCCTGGCTCCTTCACCCCAGCTCAGGAGAACCTGTAATTGGCGCCAACCTTGTCCCATGTACACAGGCCCTTTTGTACAGCCTCTGCCCAACGACAGACAGATTGACAGGTTCATGGACCCTCAGGCTCCCATTATGGCACTGAAGCTGCCATGAACAAAAGAAAAAACAATTTAAAAAGCTTATACTGGTGTCTGTGCCACAGCAGACGCCCCTAAAGGCCTAGAGGGCAGTCCTCACCAGCGGAATGCACACATCACCAATCAGTCTGCCACACGAGTTACTGATGCACCACAACCTTGGAGTTTTATTATCAGCTTCTCACATTCAAGTACAGATTCCAATAAAAGTTGATTCCTCGAGAAGAGAAATGACAAGAACTGATTGTGTTCTCTTCTTGAAATGGCCTACCCAGCACCCATGGCTTCTAATGGATGGGCACAGGTTTGCCAAGTGTCCTAGCACACGAGATCATGTGTACTAGGACATGCACACACACATGCAAATACATGCACACACAGACACACACACACAGTACCTCCAAGCACACAGGGCCATCCAGTGCACATAACCTTCCCTCAAAATGTACACACACACACACAACTACTGAAACCATCAACCAGGCTTTGCTCCTGAGAGTAAGGTTTACTCCAGTCTAACTCTTGCCTCTTTCCAAATGTGGCTGTAGAGCTCTGTCATCCTCCACTGGTAAAAGGGCAAACTCCACCATGGACATAGGAACACACAAATCCCTGGCAGAGTCATGTGCACCTGTAAGAGGTTCCCATTTGCACGGGCCCTTGAGGTGGGCATTCCTCAGGGGTGAGAGTTAGCTCTGCAGTCTAAATTCATGAGTGCTGGTCTCCCAGCAGAAGGGATCCTTATCCAGCATGCTGCGCTCTGTGAAGGTCACGTGCCCATCTGCATCGACGAGGATGACTGTGTTGGTTCTGAAAGAGAATATGGGGCTCATGTTCAGCCTCCTGCTCTTGGTCCCCTGCCCACCTTTTGGAGTTCCAGCTGGAGGCATAAGCTCACCACTGCTGGAATCTGTACTAGACACAGCCCAGCTTTTGGTAGGTCATGAATGAGTAGCCTCAGTCTTGGGGAGTGAAAGGGACCTATCAGGGGAATCTGGGTACATAACCTAATGGAGACTGGGGCTCCCTCACCAGCCCTGCAGGCCATGTCTATGAGTCTACCCAGTACACACTCTGCAGTATAAGCCTGAACTACTCTTACCAGGAAGGCCCTTGGCTTAGCAGGCACTTTCCCACTCAGAACGCCCTAGGGCTCCTGGGCAACCGAAACTCTAGGCTGCCTTGGACTCTTCTAAGATTTGATACCCTCAACTGCTTGGAAACTAGGCCTCCTTCACCTGGAATGCTCCCTTCTGTCCTCTTCCCCACTGTCCTGTCCCAAATGCTTAATGTACCATCTCCCCTGTACCCATCCCATGGCAGGGTGTCTTCACTTCATTATTGCCTGTCTCCCTACCATCCCCCCTATGACCCCTAGAATCAGGCACCAGTTCCTAAGCAGCCCAATAAAAGCTGATATCCAGGTGGGCATGTGCATACTCAAGACTGAGGGTTCCAGTGGGGTTGGCCCAGCAACATGTGCACTCCACCCTCCCCTTGTCCCCATGTCCCACCCTCTTGTCCCCCAGGAGAAGAGCCAGGTACTGTCACATGTATAGTACCATGAGCACACTGAGCACACAATTTAGTCACAAAAATAAGCCTATGACAGAGGAGAAGCTGGAGGAAAATTATATTCCTGCACCTACTAAGGGAATGATCCAGGTAAAAGGTCACTGTTCAGGCAAGCAACCCTCAGGGCCTAGAGCACCAGTGCCTGGCACTCATACTACATGGAACTTGACCATCATGTCTGTCCCTCAACCAGAGGATTTGACACTGTCACATCCTGGGCATGGGGGATGGAAGACTCAGGCCTGCTGCCCTCTTAGTCAACTGGTCCCCAGACCTTCATGTCTGTCCTCTAGACAATGTTCTCAGCCTCAGCAGAGACGTGACCATGTCATCAGAGCAGTCACCTCATGGTTGCCTGGGGGAGCAACCACCTACCTCACCTGCTCTCCCACTCTAGTGACAAAAGGGGCTCACTTGCCCAATCTCATTGCACCTGAACCTGAAAAGCAGGTGTACATGTGATATCAGCCTGATATCAGTTGGCTCGATCACCATGCATGATCCTGGCTATGGGAACCTGAGGATATGTCCCATCCATACAGTCACTGTGGATTCCCAGTCCAGCGCAAGGCTAGCACCCACAGAGTCCACAACATGCCAGTCCTAGTAAAAATGGCTGTGCTGCCACAGTGCTCCATCTCCAGACCAGGTGTGCAGCACTCCAGAGCATCAGTCAGTTCTCCCCCACTCTGTGTATCCAAGCCACCTCCAAGTGCAGTATGTGGGTCCTCAGATAGGCCAATCAGGACTCCCAGCCCACAGACCCTTTCCTCCATCCACGATAAGGGGAAGCAAGGAAGGAACTTGCCTGGACAGCAAGTAACCATGCCAAGGAATCTGTCCCCTAAATAGCCTCAGCTTTAGGCCAAGACCAGGGGTCACTCTTTTCTGGGGTATGGTGACATCCCTGGTATAAGATGATCCTATCCTGGCCTGGTCACACAGAGGACATAACAGGCCAGGGACACAGGTGAGTGAGGGGAAGAGTCAGGCACTGGTACCTTTGGGCTTTCAGATTTGCTGATGTGAGCATGCCCAGTGCCAAGTGTTGGATCTAAGAGGCCCCTCCAAACCCTCCTAGAAAGCTACAGATGCCACAAGGGCCTATATCTGACCAGTAACACCCCTGGGAGTGAATGGTCACGTTGTCTATGAACATTAACTGTGGCATCTGCTCACCCCACAGTCCCTGAGCTGAAATGGCATCCACTTCTGGACAAGGAAGAGACTCTGGAATCCAAGGAGTGCAGGTAAGCCCCTTTTCCCCAGAGAACAGGACCACATGTGCTTGGTAATCCCCCATACCTGGTGCCGTAGTCTGGGCAGCGAACACACACAGCTGCATACTTGTTCAGAATGGGTTGCACATACTCCCTGCCCTGGGACTCGATGGCTGGGTCTGGCAACTGCCTGAAAGGACAGAGGAGGGGTCCATGCCAGCTCCCTTGCTGGCCTCCCATAGCCCAGCCTGCCTGCCTGTTATCCTGGATGCCCTGTAGTGCCCAAAGAGCTACCAGGCTCTAAAGTAACAAGGTTTGTTCCATCCACTTTCCTGCTCCATCAAGCCTTTCATTTAAGACTACAGTGTAAAGTCACCTACCACAGCCCACTCACCAGGAGTTTTCTCCCAGGACCTAGGACCCTAATGCCATGAACACCAGTGATCTGGGCACTGGGGAAGACTCTGCTAGGTGAGAAAATGCCCAGGGTCCCCAGGGGAAGGAGAAAAGCCATCCCAGGAGAGAGGTGAGATTTGAGCGGGTATAAGTGCTGTGAACATTAGCCTGGTTAATGGATGTGATTACCTAGCCACATATTTGCCACAAGAGATTCCCTGTGAGCATCTGAGGGCCGGTGCAGGGCCAAAGCCATCAATAACAGTAGCTTAGGGCCCCAGTCATGAGTCTTCAGGGATGACAGAAAATGTATATGCGCTTAGCAGGAAGGAGTCCCAGGAAGGAAGACTGACGGTGTCATGCTTCAGAGGGGAAAGCAATAGTAATCCAGGAATAGACAGGGTCCCAGGAGAGAGGAGAGGGAGACAGGACATTGGGGACTCCTCCAAGATGCCACTGGGGTATAGGACAGACAGTGAGTAGCTTGGTTAAAGCACAGGGGAGGTGTGAGCTGCACCAATGTGAGACAGGAAGACCAAAATAACCCAAAAATAAAATAGAGTTGGTATCCCTACAGTAGATGCCCATCTAGAAGTCACCTGAAGTGCCTCAAACCCTGTGAAAGAAGCCTTCTTTCCCTTGGGCAATTCATGATGTTCCAAAGCTAATGGTAGAACATCATGTGTAAAGGAGAGTTAAGCCCTAACTGTTCACTTATGTGATTAGCTAATTAACTACCTAGCATCTTCTGAAATCCCGGAGGGGAGCCTCCAGCTTCTCTGAGCCCCATGCAAACGACCCACATCAGGCCTCTAAGGCTGGTGGGGGGCACAGGTTGGTAGGGTAGCTGTGGGGGATGGGGGAGGTTGGTGGGAAGGAGACAGAGAACATCTCTCTATGTAGTTTCCCTGTGGCTGAGTAGCCACTGTAGTCATTTGGGCATCCCAGGGCAGCAAAGCCTCCCTCCCTATATGTCCCACAGTTGGAGAAGTAGAGGGACCCGCCTACTCACGCCTCTTCATTGTTAAGCACATCCAGGAGCTGGGCAACAAGAGCATCCTTGGGAACTGCCTCACTCTGCTCCACTACTTCCAGGAAAAGCTGCTTCCCAAAGCACAGCTTCCTCCACGGTGTCTCCAGAAGTGCATTGCTCAGTCCGTAGGTTCCTATAAGGAAGGGGACTGAGGGTAAACTCCTACCCAGCAACATGCAAGGTGCTCGGGATGTGGCTGAAGAGTGCTGAGGTTAGGCCACCCCATGATCTAGCACCTTCTCTACAGGCATTCCTAACCCATCTGCATGGCAAGACAATATAGTGAGGCAACACAGGAATCTAAAAGTCATATATGCATTGTGGCCTTGAAGGGCAGGATAGTAATGAATAAAAGACCTGGGTGAAGAAAAGAGGGAAACTTGCAAGAGAATCATCTCCCTATCTCAAGCCTAGGTGGAAGTCCAACTGAGAAGATGAAGGTTGCAAAAATCAGCAATCTGAAGCTAGGGGGTATCCACCTTTTAGGTCATTAGTCAGGGAGCCTGCCAACAAGGGGCAGCCCCATGTGGTGGTAACATGAGGACCAGGTCCCAGGAAGGGGAAGCCATGGGACTTTAGGGCTAGTTTCTCAGAACAAATTTTCAGAAGGTTAAAAGAAGGAAAAACAAAAGAAAGAAAACGAAAGGGAGAGGCACAAACTCAGGTGCCCCCTTAGGGAGATCAGCAGACAGGCAAGTTTGGAGTCATGTTCACTAAAAGATGCATGGAATACAAGGAAACATTACTCTCTGAGGCTGCCAGACTTTTAGGAGATCTCGACCAAATCTGATGTGACTCCAGTCACTTATGGGAAGACAGCTCATGCAACACCAGGCACCCATAGCAAAGTTGCCAGCCTCAAATATCACGATGGGTATGGATGTGAAAAAATTAGAACCATCCAGAGTGTTTGACAGGAACTTTGTTCCCACTTTGCACTGGGAACACAATGAGGGACACAATAGTCGTGGAACAGGTTTGCAAGGCAAGACTCTGCTACCTAAGCAGATATTCTTGTGCTATTTATTGAAAGCATACAGGCTAGTAAAAACTGATCATGTGATATTGGTATGAGGAATAAAGTCCAGACAGTAGGATTGGAATGGGGGCCAAAGTTTCACAAGGACATCTGGTCAAGAGACATTTGCATTGTGCTGATGTTATCAAAAGCAGAACTATCCTGAGATCACCATGGAGTCATGTAATCAAGTCAGTGGCACCCCAGGCCTGCCTCGTTATGTGGGCTATAATCCATAGGTAGTCAAGCCGGGGTGCTCTGTTGTGGTTTGCAGATAGCAAATAGGTCACAGCTGCCTATGAGTGATCAGCTCATAGGAGCCCACACTACAACAGTGGAAAACACCATTCAACATTGGTGCTGTGCAGCAAGTAGCCATGTGCAAATGACAGAGGTGGGCCCTTACCTCATACTTTACATAGGAATCAATTAAAAATGTCCCCAAGACCTAAACATGAAAGCTAAAGCCTTTAAATTCCTAGAAGAGGGTTTAGAGCACAGTGCTATGAAGCTATCTGCAGCCACTGCAGCACAAGTTTGAACCAAGGCCAGGGAAGTGACCCACATGGCATGACAGACCTCTCCTGTCCCACCCGCTGCTCCCCTCAGCAGAGTATTTCAACCAATCTGCCTTTTCTGCTTCCCACCCTGTCTCTGGTGAATCCTCTCACCCCTCCACTCCTGGCCTGTATCCCAGTTCTTGTATCATAAATAAATAAATCATTTTTTTAAATTCCTAGAATAAAGTGAGGAAAACTACATAACCTTAGGTTAGGCAATGCATTCTTATCTTTTAAATACTTTTAAATACTGCGCTTCAAAGGATACCAACAAGAAAGTCCACAAAAAGAAAGACAATTTTTTTTTCAAATTATGTATCTGGGGCACAACTAAATAATATAAAGATATTTTAAAGGTCAATAACAAGACATAAAATGATTTTAAAATGAGCAAAGGATTTGAACAGATGTATTTCCAAAAAAGACATACAAATGGTGAATAAACACCCCAAAATATGCTCAATGTGATTAGCAATCAAGGAAACATATATTAAAACCACAAGATAACCACCTTTTACCACTAAGATGGCCTTAATAAAAAAGACAGACAGGGCCCTCCCTGGTGGCACAGTGGGTTAAAGCACAGCACTGGAAAGCTTAAGCCACTTCCGCATGAGTTCGATTCCCGCCTGCCCCGGAGGAGATCCACATGGCAAGGCAGACCTCTCCTGACCCGCCTGCTGCTCCCCTCAGCAGTGTACTTCGTCAATCTGCCTGTTCTGCCCCCCTCTCTGTCTCTAGTGAATCCTCTCACCCTCCGTATCTCTGGCCTGTACCCCAGTTCTGTACAAATAAATCAATCTTAAAAAAAAAAAAAAAAAAAGACAGACAGTAACAAGTGTTGATGAGCATGTGGAGGGACTTAGAACCTTATACCCTGCTGGTAGGAATGTAATATGGTTCCGTTGCTTTAGAAAACATTTTGGCAGTTCCTCAACAAAGAGATGAAAACATGCATCCACACAGAAATTTGCAATAGATGAATTTTCATAGCAGCACCATCCACAAAAGCCAAAATGAAGAAAAACCTAAGCATGCACAATGGATGACTGGAGAAAGAAAACCCGCAATGTCCAGATGATGAGATACTATCAGTTCTAAAGAAGGAATGGAGTACAAGCACAAGCTACGGCACAGATGGACCCTGAAAAAATGATACTAAGTGAAAGAAGCCAATCCCCAAACTGTATTTTATGATTCTGTGTTCATGTTCATAAAATGCCCACAATGGGCAAATCTAGAGACAGAAAGTAGATAAATAGCCCTTTGTAGTTGAAGAGGGAGAATAGCACGGCATTTGTTTTCAGGTGATGAAAATGTTTCAGGGTTAGGTTGCAGTGATGGTTGTACAACTTTGTAAGAATACTGAAAACTAATGAATCTACATATTAAGTGGGTAAACTGTATGATATGTGAGTTATATTTCAATAAAACTGTAATTTTTTTTTAAGTAATATGGATCAGGTTGGGGCAGGCATGGGGACAAAACAAGAAGGCATAGTTTAAAAGAATTTCTCCTGAATGGTTTAACAGAAAACAAGCATTACTAGCCAGGTGCTCTCAAGCATTAACAATCAAGTACACTTTGGGGGTGTTTACAGCTGCATCCACATGATTCTCTGGGCCAATGCACAGAATGAGAGGTGAGGATGGGGTTCTCTGCTTTCTTCTGTGCCTTTCATTTTCTAGCACTCTCCAGATGGCAATGAGCTCACCCCTGGGGAAAGGTGGCCTAAGTTGTCAGCAGTTTGATATATGGAGCTGGTGAAGCCATGGGCCATAAAGTGCAGAAATCAAAACTCACAGTCCCAGGAGAGAAATAAAAGTGACCATGTCTCTGAAAAGTACAGAGGTGTTCCCACAGGATCACCCCAACCCAGCACCACCCACCAGGGCAGGCTCACCTGGTGTGAGGACAACAGGCTCTGGCTCCCCACGGTTTCCATAGTAGCAAACCACATCTCCCTTCACTGTGCTGTGGATGAAGAGGAGAAGATCAGACCAGAACCATTGGGTGTCCTGCTCCTGCACTGCCTCATACCTAGCAGGGACCCAGGAATGTGGCCAGGACAGGGCCCAGTCAGGGATACAGGCCTGCAGGGGCCTCACAAGCAAAGTCACCAATACCCCTAGCTCCTAACTCCTGGCTTACCATAGAAGCCAGTGGTCTGGGAGCAATAGCTGAAATATCCTTCTGCCTCCCCAAAGTCTCCAAGACATGAGTACATGAAAGCCTCCAGAGAGAACAATCATAGAGGGATGAGCCTCATACTTATGAACATTGACCCCTCCAAAGGCCATGGCTGTACCCCAGAGGCTCATCCTGAGCTCTTCCATTTGGGACAGGTCACCCTGGGTGACAAAGACTTCCCAACAAAGCACCAAGGACCACATTTTTCCTCTTTTATAGACTGGGTGTATATTTTTAAAAAATAACTTAATGTCCCAGAGCTAAAGATGTTCAATTCCTAAATACCAGAGGGATTTTCTGTTCTATGAGCCATTTCCTGGTGTTGTGCTGAACACAGAGAGCTGTGCCTTGAATGCACAAATGCAGAGACAGTAGGTTTTGAGGAAACCTCACCTCCCTGGCCTGTTCCTCCTGCTCAATGCTACTCAGCTGGCAGAATTCCCCATTCACCTTCACATTCTGTTCACATTCTTCTTCACCACAGCTCTTGGCTCCCTTCTTAAGGTATTTACTAATGACCAGAGATTTTGTTTGCAGGCAAAAAGTTGGAAAGCACAAGGACCTTTCGGATTGGGCCATCACTCCCTGAGTAGAAGGTGGCCTATACCTGCCTGAGTAGAAGGAGGCCTAATCCAGGGACCGGCCATGGAGGGAGTAAAGCTCTCTTCTTGGCCTTGACATCCTCCAGGGGCTAAACACAGGCTACTTTCTGCCCTCTGAATGCCAGCCTCAGGTTTTGGCACCAGTGCCACCTGGCCCTCAGGATACTCCTCTCAGGGCCACCTGGCCCTCAAATATAACCCACTGGTCTCTCCTGGCTTCCACCTACTTCCATGGTCTGTTCCAGGGAGGTAGGTCCTGACACTACTTCCCTGGAAGCCAGGAAAGCTGCCTAAGCTTCAATGAACCCACCCCAACACTAGAGGGAGTCACCTGTATTTGGATGAGTCCCCTTATCACAGGGCCCTTAATATCAAGTGGCTACTTGACAACTGCCAGGCAGTAAGTACTGTCAAGCACAGAGACCATTCTCCCAGGTCAGATCAGACATACACAGAACTACTGACAGCCAAAGTGAACCCTAAGCTGGTGGGAGCATTGAGGGCACAGGGATTCCCCCTCTAGAGCAGGCCTAGATGGAAGGAGAGGGTTCAGGGCAGCAAGTGCCTGGTTGAGCACATTCTTGGTCCTGCTCACGGGATACCACAGCCTCTGCAAAAAAACATCTATCTGCAAGGCAGTGCCAGGCCAGCCACACCATACATATTAAACACTCAGCACAGTGAATCTACCCTTGTGGAAAGAAGCTGGTTCAAACAGGTTCACCACCTCCCCAGTGCCAAAGGCATCCACCAACTTCTGGGACACTGAAGGGGAAGGGATGCCAGAAGCAGACAGCAGAACAGATGGGAGAGAGCATTAGATGTCATTGTATTGGAGGATAGTTCCCGGTGACCACACCTCTAATGCTCTTCATCCAGGCCACCCTGGTTAGGTGGATCAGGGTTGTTCTCACCAAAGCCTGAAACCAACAAGAACTGTGTTGAGAAACTCGCACCGGGCCCTGGGTATCAGAAGAGTGGACACCCAACAAGGGTTCCCATATTGGCCTCCCTTTACCCGCTGCTATTCCTTCCCTGTGCACATTCTGTCATAGACACCAGGACTGTCAACAGCATTCTCTCACCTGCCTTCAGACTTGTAGTTGAGCCTTGGCAGACCAGCTGCCCACACCCTGTCCCCTCTTCCCCAGCATCTAACTGGTGGTCCTGGATACAGGATCTGGAGTCCCACTCAGAGGACAAGGGTTCCTCATGACTCCTGATAACCTATGCACCAAATATCACTTCATGTTAAGTACCAAAAGAGGTAGGTCACACTCATGCCACAGGCAGCACCTGCTCCTCAGATGGCACTAAGAAAATGGCACCCAATGACAGGCCGAGAGCTAAAGGCAGCCTATGCATCTGGTGCCTGAGTTGGTGCTGGGCATAAACAGGGTCCAGGTGTGGGAGCGACAGAGATAAACATACTCTCAGGAGCTAGGTCATAGCCTGATGGTGGCTAGACAGTGCCTGGTTTTGCACTTCAGATGGAAATGCAGATGGCATGGCAGGTGTCCAGGGCACCAAGCTAAAAGCATCTCCTGTCCTGGTCCCTAATTGGTGGTTGACAGTGGCTACCTCCAGGGGCATCCATGACCCCAGTCATGTACCCACAGCTGTGCCACAGGACCCGGCCCCACTTCCCACAGGAATCATGGTGAGGCCACCTGCCTGTCTAATCTCAGCAGTGTCAGGCACACACAAGGTGGCAGTCAGCACCTGCATACAATCCCACATGACATCCATGTGTAGCCATCAGCCCCTCTGCATCTCTATGTGCCCCAGGTGTGCCTGGCAATGTTTTAGCTGCCATTTCCCACAAGATCCAGGTCTCCTGTAAAGTCCCAACAATGTGACTCTTGAATCTCACAGTCATCCTCATAGCCGGCACAGGTACCCCTGCAGCTCCTGGAACAGCACTTGCCTGGGGGACCTACCTCTCCAGCCCCAGGACAATACCCTCCACCCTCTTCTTTTGCTCCCCAGCCTTTGCAAATAGGCTTCCATGTTCACTGTTGAAAGCCATGGTTCACTTGGATGGTTTTGCTGATTCCAGACAGGTATTAGGAACTATCTGCTCCTCAGCCACAAACATGGCAGGGAGACTACGGGAGCCAAGAGACTAGTGTAGGCTAAGGGTGCCCGATACTAAGAAAGTGCCCTCTGCAGTGTTCACAGCAGGAGCCAGTGGTCCTCACATTGTCATAGGAAGCCCCCAACTCTGCTCTCCAAGTCCCCACAACAGTGGGTCTGGGAGGGTTTCAGTCCCTCTGGATGCTCACCAACCCCACCAGGAGAGATGTCCTTGAAGAGACCACCATGATGTCACAGAGTAGTGTGACAAGAGACCCGCTTCCTACCAAGCCCGTAACTCTAGCACATGGTGATGCCCTGTAGACCCACCTCAAATCCGCTGCTATGAGGTTGAAGCCATTATATAGGTGGCCCTCTTTGGAGACCTTCTTCAGGTAGGACAAGCTATCCACATCGGTGGTCAGAAATTGGGCCACGAGTTCACCTGTGGGCGGGGGATAGACACCCACAGCTAAGGCAGCAGGGATGAATCCCCCTCTCTACAGAGACTGGGAGGCCCTCCTGGGCTGGACCCCTCCCATGTTGGTCATACCTCATTAACACAGCAGTCAAGGAGGATGGCACCAAGAACAATTTTCCTTTTCTTTTTTTAATAATATGTTTATTTTTACATAATTATGTGTCTTTTCCCATCTCAGTTGTAATCCCCTTGGGCTTCCCATCACCAAAGTCCATTGCACTTCCCTCCCCCCACCGTTTTTGATCCCATTCCCCATTCCACCCCATAAAATGTCTCTGGTATATAGTTGTTTATTATTATTATTATTTCCCTTGGCCCTTTATACTCCTGCTATGAGTAAAACCATCCAGTATTTTTCCTTTTTTTTTTCTGGCTTATTTCACTAAGCATGATCCCTTACAGCTCCATCCACATTGCTGCAAAAGGCATGTGTTGATTTTTTTTTGGTTGCTGAGTAATATTCCATTGTGTATATGTACCACATCTTTTTAATCCAGTCATCTACTTTTGGGCATTTGGGCTGTTTCCA